ATACATTTGTCTATATCTATCTCGATTCGTTTTGCCTGTTACAAACAACCGTTATGTGAACAAAGTTATAATACCCTTGTGCACAAGTGCGCTCGGGTATAAAAAAATCGTCATGGGCAGATCGACGCGAAGTTTACTTATCTCTTATTCAAAGAAAATAAACTTTAAATCGGTTCATATTTGGGCTCTCAAAATTCATTTGTCGACAGCAACCTTTTTTGCCCCACCGTGTGACGTAGTTAGGCTTTCTTTTAGGTGCTATATGTGCTGTTTTCTCAACTAAGTTTTAAAATTTATCAAACACATTTTTTTCAGAACAAAATTTATCTTTAATCTGAGCCCTCCAGGAAAATGTTTTCGTACACATTTTAGTAAAGCGTTGATGCTGCTTTAGAAATATCAGTGGTACAAAATATCGATTGCTTTCGCTTATTTAAAGAATTCTTGTGAGTTGATTTTCAAAACCGAAGAACAACCCCATCTAGGAACTATTGCAGCTTCATTGATACTTCATTGAAATTTTATTTTGACTGTGAATATGGCCCATTATTATTATATACTATTATGAGACTAATTTAGGCATCATTAAGCAAACAAAAAGATTGTGCTGCGAAGTTGTTACGACTTTTATCTACATATATATCATATATCTACACATCGAGACCTAACCGCCAAAATAATGTAAACGACATTTTTTTCAAAATTTTCTTTTTGATGCAGAAATATTCCTAGAGCATCTAGATACGTTTCTGTATCAAAAAGAAAATTTTGAAAAAAATGTCGCTTACGTTATTTTGGCGGTTAGGGCTCGATATATGCATGCGCACATTATATTTGTATTTATCTTTAACCAACGTTTGTGTGTACTTACATTATACGAGTGCATGATAAAAATAAACTTTGACATAACTAACTATCGCCTTAACACTGTCTGCTAATAATGCTCCTACACCTCCTACTCACAATCCGTTATCTTGTTGCACAGTGGGACGTCCCCATATATTCTTAGGCTGTCAGGAAATAGGCTGAAGACACAAACTTTGGTGCAGTGCCATGCGCACCACACATGTGGGAGGAATTTGATAAAATTCGGCTCTTGTGTGTGCCATAAAGGAAGAAATTCGAAAAATTTTTGTAATTTGTTAACTGTTATTTACATATATCAACTATAAAAATGTTACACATTAGTACTTTATTCTGACAACCTTAACACACTACCCTGCTAATTTCTGCAAGTAGTATCCATTTAATAGAATAATATATTTATTATTAATAAAGAGAGTCTAAATACAATATTTATAGGATTCTGATAACAAATATAGTTTAACGGCAACTTAAGTTCCTGTTCCAGTTTTTTTGGTTACAAAATGTTTGGGTAATGTCAAGAATATATCTGTAAATGAAATAAGCTATCCACACCGCGGCCGGTCTTAACCGGCGAATCATGCATTGGCGCCATTTGTAATTGATAATAAAAAATATGTTATTTTGAATTCTGTGCCATATTTTATTGAAACAAAACATACATTACAGTTATCAATAATAATATTCCGGATCTACAAGGAAAAACCACTAAGTCGAATTATCGTTGGTTTTTTCCAAGAAAACTCTTTGATATGATTCTGGGTTTTCTGCAATTTGATTTTCGGTGGACAGCGAAGCCAAACTATTTAATCTTCTTTGGGACGCTGTAGACTGAAAGTGCATTTTTATCAATTTTAGTGTAGAACAAGTAAGGAAGTCTAAGTTCGGGCGAAGCCTTCCTAAAACTACCGTTTACTACTGGTTTATCGAAGCGGTTACTGAGATATACACATTTAATCCTAGGTGGGCGCGGATACGCCCATTTTCGAAAAAATTTTTAATATTCTTATTTCCCCCAAGAGAACATTGTAAATATCAGTTTTGAGTGAATAATCTTTAGTAGTTACTAAATTATCTCAGTTTCGTATATCTGAAAACTACCGTTTTATGGTTACAGGTAGGCGTGATTATTGTGTTCGTTGTTTTGCTCAAGATATTTCAAAAAATACGAGCGATTCTACGTAGGAATTGATCCAGTGTAATTAATTGGAGTCAGAGTTTTGACCAAAAACGTTGGGTTGTCTATTTTTTTCCTGGCCTACCTATCGGGTTGGCAGGTTTGAACAGGTAAGTAATACTAGTAATTTTCACTCATCTGTTTAACACATTCTAGTTATAGGCTTTATGCTTTCGATTCGTATATACATATGTAATTTGTTCATTAAAAAATGAGTGCAAAAAAATAAAATAAAAATTGAATCTTTAATTAAAAATGTGCTGGCTAGGATTTTTTAGCCAAACCACTCGTAAAATATTTCCTAACGCGTTTAATTTCACACAAAGTAGATTTCATTCATTAAACAGATGGGTGAAGGTCGTGCACTTGTCGGATCTCCTACTAATAGTAAAAATGAATATGTATATATTTTGTTTTACCGAGATACTGGTAATCGATATAGCTATGAAATTTTTCAGAACATGGAAAAATACTTAACTAAATTTTTGAATTTTTTGGATTTTGACACTATTGACGTAAATGAGCGATGTGTATGTACGTCCTTACTTATAAGTGCGGAATACTGCCTAATTGGCTTATAAGTTGGCTCTTTTTTTCTATTTTTGGCCACTTTAATCCCATTGTGCGTTGTGGGCAATAATCATAACCAAAAAATAGAAGATGCAAAAAAAACTTAAGCATTGCTCCCAGCAGTCCTCACATCCATACACCTATCCAAACACACATACATATGTGTATGTGTGAAAGGTGTTTCGATAGCTAAGTCACGGTTTACTTGAATTAAATTTGTGAAAATTTGTTGCTAATTCAAAGTTATAAAAACTCAGATTTTTGCATGGCTAAAAATAATTTTATATATGATGGCAAACTCTAAAGCCTAGTGAGGAAATTTTAGCATAATTGAGTGGTTTCATCTGTGCATCATTGGGCACGAGATCCACGGTACTAATTTCAAAATGATCTGAATGGTCCCGATAAAACACGCAATTCCCAACAATTTAAAAAATCTTCCCCTGCGTCATATTGACTCAAAATCGAACGGCAAAGCAAAATGGAATAACTAAAAGATACCAGATCTTTTAGAAAGGCGAAAGTTAAATTTTCGACAAAAAAATATGGAAGTACATTTACAATTTACAATGCTTGAGACATGCTCACGATAATAATACCGGGTAACTTTCCATTAATTCATCCAACGCAAAAACGAATGACCCTTTAATACAAAAAAAAACTCTTAAGATTAATTCATTTGTAAGTACTTGCAAGTGTGCTCATTTCAGCATGTGCTTAGCATGTTTGAGAGTCATTATTCACTAGCATTCAGCAGCAGATTGAGTCATAAATTTTCACTTCTCTCCATATTTGCTATTTAAGTTGGAAACGCGCCTTGACAACTATTTTATGGGCAGCTCTAACATAAATGCTACCTTACACACGTGCTCAGCTAATTTATTGACTCTTTTATACACTTTATTGCTTTTATTTATTTTGCATATGCTAGCCACAGCTTTTCTAGAATGCACACTCCTTAGGGCCTTAGGACTCTTACAGGCTACCTGACAGGACACTGCAAGTTAAGGTACCATTTGAATGAAATTGGTGATTTTCCACGCCTCATGAAAGGCAACATAGGCTGCTCCTAGGGCGGCAAAATTTAGGGGCGGCAAAATTTGAGTTGAAAAAAAAAAAATATTTTTTTCAAGTTAGCTACACTGAAAGTAGAATTTGTGTTTATACATTTTAAGACTTAAATTTGAGATTTAATTAGGCAATCAGAAAGTAGGACAACACTCTTAGATAGTTTTGATATTATTTAAATGATAATATCTAAAAATACTAATTTAGTATTTTTGAGATTATAACTTATCAAGTGAAAAAACTTTGTTGATGAGGACTTTCTTTAAAAGTTGAAAACCTTTACTCAAGGCAAATACCACTTTATCATTTTTAAAATTTTTATTAAAAGTATAGTAAATAGCATAAATTTTAATATTATATTTACTGCTAATCATTCCAAAACTGGTACTTTTACCTCAAAATATTTTTCCTTTCGGAAAAAGGACGGCAAATTCTGAATTCCCTAGGGGTGACAAATATTCAAATCCGCCACTGCGTACATATTTGCCATGTACTAATTATTTATTTTATGCTAAAACATTTTCAATTCGGACCAGCGTGCAGTGAGAATTAGCGTTACGCTTTGCTCAAAATACAATACTACCCACTCAAATGCAAATGCTATCCGCGAAGAAGATTAAATAAAAATATGGAAATAGAATATGCTTTATACTATTTTAATTATGGAAATGTTTTAGTATGCGTTATGATAAATAATAAAATTGTTGTTTTTTTGTTTTGTTGTTTCGATGCAAGTAACCACGAGTAAATGTTCGACACTTTCTTCAAGTACTGAGTACTTTTTGTTCTCGAATCCTTCCGGCAAGTACTTAGGTGGCTGTCGTTGTTGTGGCTGTTTGGTTGTGACAATAAATATATGAATCATGCTATAGTGCTCTTGGCAACACGTTATATACCACCTTAACTTGTGTGCAGCAAATAAAATAACAAGGCGGTAATGCCGAGCAGTTGGAGATTCACACATCGATATCGCGTTAAAAAGTGAAGTTGGCTAAAGAAATGAAGAAACTGTCAATGCTGCGTTTTCGTGCTAGTAAAATTTTCTGGTTTTGCAATATTTACGACTACTTTTTCGATAATTTTTGGCCGAAAGTACTCGATAAAACTTATGGCTACTCTTTTTAGTTTCATTTTTTTAATACCCTTTGACCCGACTTATTGAAAATTTAAATTTTTTGACCCTTTTCCAAAATTATGTGCGACTTTTGGCCCTTTTGAGAGATTTTTTTTTTGAAAATGTTAATAGAACATTGCTATTAAAAAATTTTTCCTCCTGTAAGTACTTAAAAATGTATCACTTAAAGAAAATACAACAAAAATAAAATCGTTTTTTCGTCAATGACGCCTTTTTTGCGACTTTATGAAAATTCTCAACGGCAACACTGTTGGAATTGCTTCTTTTTTCTCACCATGACATAGCATTGCTGCGGGGACAGAAAATGCAACGTTCTTAATAACCTTATCAAACTTTTTCAATAAATATATACAAATACGTATAACTGCATGAATTTATGTAATCATTTCCACGAAATACAATGAGTTCGACACGATTAAGTACCGAGTACTTCCCTCCGATATATTTGTAGCATCGATACTTTTCTTCGATATTTTTACAGAGTACAGGAATCCAATATATGGCTGTATCGGAACAATACTAAGAATTGCTAACAGCGCTATTATTAAATACCAGTAGGCACCATTGACCAACTACCTACTTGTCTTCATTTTGCGATATTGTTTTTTTTTTTGGCTTTCATAATAGGGGTATTCAGGTGTTAATGCAAATTGCAATTGCAACGGTGCGAAATGTGAAAATGCAGAATTTTATCATCAGCCGTTGCTTATGGTTGGTAAAGAGTGAAATGCTGTTGATAAAATTTAGCAATTTCGCATTTCGCACCGATGCAGTGCATTTCCTATTAACGCCTGAATACCCCAATTGTAATAGTATTTTGGCGAAGATGAAGATAAAGATAAAAATATAAAGATAAAGAGATAGTTGTAGATGTAGATAAAGACGAAAATGTAAGTGAAGATGAAGGTCTAGATGAAGATCGAGATAAAGATTAAGATAAATATGAAGTTGAATTTTTCGGTTATGACGTTCTTCAATCAGAAGAGAGATCTAATGAAATACTTAGCATACCGGCCGTCAACTTTTATTAGTAAACGGTCGAGAAAATGGCCCTTCTTCTAGTTAAGTTAAAATAAATCTTATGTTGCACATAGATACGTATGTAAGTCTTCTAGGGAATAAGAGGGAAGGGTTAAAAAATACGGTTTTATGGAAATGGAATTTTTAACAAAAAAAAGCCTTAGCCCTATGTAAAATAAAAAAAGGTTCAAATCGGGTAGATGGGGAAGAAAACACTCTAACGCTTGCTGCTTCTAGATAGCGGCTATTCCACAAACCCCTGAGTACCGCAAATGAAATTTAACTTTCTCAGGGTCTGGCCTGGCTTATTTCAAAAATTGCCAGTTTACAAATTTTCCACCCTAATAATACCTTTGATGAACATTAAATGGTATTATAACTTTGGTCCGATGTTTGTAAGTACCAGGAGAAGAATAGATATATCTATGAAAATTTATACTTAAATGACCGCAAAGTCCAGCTAAGTCGCTTTAGCCATGCCCGTCTGTCTGTCTAGTTGAACGCAACCTAGTCCTTCAGTCAGATAGCTGACTGAGATTTGGGAGGTGGGTGTATTTTCATTGTGTATTAAATTGTTGTCGGGACCGGAAAAATCGGACCACTATAACATATAGCTCCCATAAAACTGATTGTTCGGATATAAGACAAGTTTCTGCGATATAACTCCTTTATGTAGGCAACTAAAAGGACACTTAATTCTTTTCGCAGAACTCAGGTCTTCCAGTGGTGCCACACAAAAATATAGGCCAACTGTTTTGGGTTTTAAAAGATTTTTTCATGGAAGAAACACGCGAACACTCCCTTCCAGGGGGCGCTTCTTCAACTGTTCGGTATTTGTATCTGCTGTATTTGAATTCAATTCGATTTCCGTATTTTGTGGTATTAAGATTGAATGCAATCCTTAAAATTATTTTCCCCTCATTTTAAGCTTTTAATAAAATTGTTGCCAATTTAAAAAAAAAAATTCTTCGAATGATTTTTGACATTGTCTTATCTTTTCTTGAACTTATCACACTTAAATATATGACAATATTTAGTAACCCCAGCCCACGTGCTATGTGACGCTACCTTGATTGCCGCTCGCCTTCTTCAGCAACGCAATTTCGATGTAATTTCCATCATCCTCTGCCCGTTGTACGCTGAACACCATCGGCCCCACCGGAATACGGATTGCATTTCCACTGATGAAGTCAACGAAACTGGAAATGCCGCGGCCGGTCTCGGCCGCATTCAACTTGTCTCTGTCCTTCTCCATCAGCGGTGGCAGCTTTGCCAAATCCATGAATCCCAAGCTAATGGTTTCGCCACGCTTGTACGCCTGCAGCATATCGTTTGCTAGCGTATGAAGGCAGCTGGCATTATTAGCACATTTCCATGACATTTTTTCCGAAAAGTCTCTTCGGACAAACTCAGCGGGTTTCTGGTGGCGATGTTGCTGTTGATGTTTTTTAATCTTGGCCTCGTTAGTGGCGACAGAATCGGTATCTTCAATCTCCACATTGCTCTCATCTATGGCATTGCTATTGCTGCTCGTTACCGATGACGCACGTGAATGTATAGCTGGACGTACGGCGGATATTTGTAACGAAAATAGAAGCCACAAGTAGAATATAAGGGACGCTATCGCGCCATTATTCCTGTGCGCCATTGCGCCAACGTTGTACTTTGCGACTATCACTTTTTGACTTAAGGATTACCGATTGCACGCGCGGGTAAATGTGTTTCTTTTCGTTTGCAAGAGGGTTGTAAATACATATGTATATCTACTATGTATTTCGTTGCCGCTAATGCAACGCGAATGTCCTTGACATTGGACTGCGCGGCTGCACGTTTGCCACGTTGGCTCTCAAACACTCTCGTTTTACGGTTTGTACACAACTCTTTTTTGAGGCAATTATTCGTAGATATATATATTTTTTTTTGCAATATTTATCGGTTTGATGAATTTGTGGCGATAGAACGCGAGCGCGCACGTCTTTTGTGGCACAATGCGAAGTAGACTAAACACTCGGCTGTGCATGCAACTCAGTTTTATTGTCTTTGTCGGCTATCAAGGCCACATACTCATGCATATACATATGTATAACGTGCATGCATATACGTGCATTTGTATATTAATTAGACAATAATTTTGTTACCATTTTTATTTTATTACAATCTTCGCATTTTTCATATATTATTTCTGCACTTTTAATATTCATTTACACCGCCTTGGCATTCTTGCTAGTGGCGTTGCTGTTGAAGTTGCAGTTGCATTTGTTGCAAGCATATCAGTTAACACGTCTACAATTTGCAAGTATTAACTATAAATGTAGCATGCAACAATACGTATGTATGTACGTACGTACGTACACATAGTATATTAAGTAAATCACATTTGCCATCACGCGCATTCATCACATTAGCGCCGACGCCAACCACCACAGCGCCTCCCTACCCTACTCGTATTATGCCTGCATTGCCACGATCAACATCACTTTCAGCCAGCCACCCAATACGTCAACGCTACGAGTGCACCACCGCATCGCGACCGTTTGCATTGCCCATTTAACAGCGTCTTGCAGATTATTAGCTGCCAACTTTACTTTGGCAATTCATTGCTTGCTAGATGCTACATATTATGATGGCTTGAGTGGTGCATGCAAGCAAAATGTTGTGCAGCTTCAGTGCATTCAATTCGCGCTGCCCATTTTCACCGTGTTGTATTTCGGTAGCTGTAAGGAGTAAAGTGGAGAGTGATGCTGTGGCTGCAACCAGTCAAATTGCAAATAATTGCTTGAAAAGTGGTTGCAACAGCTTCAAATTCTATCCGATGTAGAACTGTGGTAATCGAGTTATGTGAAAGAGTTTGTACGACTAGCGGCGGTTGTGGCGGAATATGTGTCATTCGAACTTGTTTCGAGGAAAGTTGCTAGGCTGTGACACAGCAACGGAATTGCTTGGCTTTGTTTTGGCACTTAGACCCAAATGTCATTTCAAAGCCGAATAGTAAGTATTTTAAAAATGCTTTTCTGCTTGCAAAATCGTGGATATGACAAAATTTAAGTGTGCTCTACCCAACCCACACACCATCCATACGCACCAACTACTGCGGGATGAGCCTTATAAGCTAGGTTACAAGGTCTTTTGGAGCGTATTGTGCGACAACATCAAGCCCACCGTCAACCAACCGATTGGGCATTATCAGTGTGGCTTTAGACCTGGCAGGTCCAACATTGACCACCATATAGTATATATCCAGCTTCCTCAGAATTGAGTTGGGATTTCAGACAAGGTGACTCCCTTTTGTGTGATTTCTTTAATATTATGTGATGACAAAGCGAATGTGTCTGGTGGTGAACGAAGACAAAATGAAGTACCTATCTCAGCCAGAGCATACGCGTCTTGGCACCCACTGTTGGCAGTTACAATTTAAAAAAAATACGGCTTCATTTATTTAGGAACCGGCATTAACACCAACACAAATGTCAATCTTGAAATCCAACGGAGAATGACTCTTGCCAACAACTGCTACTTTGGACTGAGTAGGCAATTGAGAAGTAAAGTCCTCTATCGTCGTATAAAGATCACACTCTATAAGTCACTCATCATGCCCGTGCTGGTGTATGGCGCAGAAGCATGGCCAATGAAAATTTCTGAGAAGGTGGATATTGGAGTTTTCGAGAGAATTACTTTACGGAAGGCTTACGACCCTTTGTGCACAGCCGATTGAACGATGAGATGTAGGAGACATAGTGCGGCGAATTAAAGTACAGCGGCTCCGCTGACTTTGTCAGGTCGAGAAGGACTTGGTTTCATCTGGCATTTCCAATTGTAGTAACTGACATAAACGAAACGAATGGTGTGCTTCCAATCAATAAGAAAAGTCTGTGATGATTTTCCCCTTAAAACAGTTCACTAGACCAAAGGATGTTCTTAGGCTTTACGAAAACAAGAAACTATAAATACTATATTATATATTATAAGAAAAATCGTACGATCACTGTATCCTACATTTCCCCGGCAATGAAGCAGACAATACATTTTGTTATTGAAATTGTTCACTTCGAATCTCAATTGAATTTAACTTTTTAAAATTTAAACAGGTGGCAGCCCTCTCCAAATACCTCAAAAATATTGCTAACACTCTTTGGTTTGACACCCATATTTTATTATTTCATATTTTCACATACTTTGTGTGTAAGCGAACTGAATTCGAAATTTCAAACAGGTGGCAGCCAAACCTTCTTCAATTTCTTTCGGCTGACACCCAAATTGTAATACATACTTCAATTATCTAACTGCCTTACTCATCTTAGGAATTTGAATTTCTAAACAATATATTCAAGAAATAAAGCCTTTTCAACCCCATTTCGATTGACCTTATCTGTTAGTAATTTATCCAGTTTATTAAATAATTTGCAAATCACTTTTTAAACAAGTGGCAATCCTCTTCAAGAATTCTAATTGTTCAAACTTACGATTTTTTAACAATTTTTTTTGCGTGGCCCTTGTGTTTTCATATTTCAAATAACTTGTGTATATATTGATAACATTCGACTTCCCAAACAATGGGCAACCCTTTTCAAGCTAGTTTCACACTAAAATCTTAAATATTCTTCGGGTGACATTGCGGTACCTATTTTAATGAACTGATGAATTAAGTTGAATTAAATTTTTTTTAAATATGGCAACCCCATAAACAAAGCTCAGAAATAATGCCGTATCGAAATTATGGTTGTATTTCCAATCGCCAAGCGAAATAAAGCCATTATGGCCTTATTGCGTATGGTGTTGTTGCACCCCACCGATATGAACATTAACTTGCACTTATTTGCAATCACCTACTGCAATGCGTTTTGGCACTCATACACACACATATGAATGTTTGATGAATTTATGTTCCTAAAATTGCTGAAATATGTTTATTTACATACATACACATATGTAAATATATATGCACAATGTAAGACATTCTGTATGCATTTCACTTTCATAGGACTTTGTGAACTAAATTTTTAGTTAAACCTCAACTCATTCCACCGCGTCATGTCGGCTGACAACAGAAACCGCAGAAATGTTTCATATTAGATATTCAATCCGTTGGCGTCAAATACTGGTATCCATTGGATCCAATTATATATATATGTATGTATACTTATACACATATCTACGTATACATATAACTACGTCATTGACATTGCCAGATTTGAGATGGTAAAATTGACACATTTTTTATTTGGTGAAAACTTAACATCTGAGTTATTTCGCACTGATAAATCGTTTGTTTTTTGGTTTTAGGAGGTTTGTAATCTGTTATAAATTTTTCTTCATGTTGAGTGCCATTGGACTATGTACTTCAGAGCGACGCACGGACGCTTCATTAAAAATCTTACTTCAAAAAGCTATCTAAAACATGACACGAAGTTGGCATCAACTTATACTTGCCTCTATTGAATAGAGTCTATTCTTTGTTCTCTTCTTGAACCTTTTTTAAGTAACATTATTTTGCGTTAACTTTTTTGAATTCGTTGTGCATTTGTACGACAATTAATGTTTTTTATATTTATTGTAATCTTCTGGCAGCACTTGCATTTGCAAACGAAATTTAATACTTCTTCATACATATGTATGTACTATAAGCGTAAGCATCTTCACACTTGGAGTAATTTCAGCCAACATCAAAGGAATGAATTTGCGATGCTGCATACACCCGTGGGTGCTGTACAGGTACCCTGCGGGAAATGTATCTAACTATAAGTTCACTTGAAGTTGATAAGGAAGGCACTAAAAGTCACTATTAGCTGTATGTTTTCTTTGTGGGAAGCTACCTATATTTCTATGGCGATGGTCGCGAAATAGTCAAGGGGATGTTACCTCTGGATTAGATGTCAACTGACTTGCAACTAACTACTTTTGAACATAAAATATCAATAGAAAAAAAACATTAATTTTTTTTTAATTTTTAGTTTAAGTTAGTATATTCAAGGTAAAATTTGTATGAGGATATTTAAATAGAAACTTATTTAAAGAAAACAATCTCCCGATTACGTCTGCGTTACTCCTGCATTACTTTTAAATTAGTTTCAAGTTAGGTTTTTGTAGTTGACTACAAGTTATATATTTTATAGAAATCCCGCAAAGATCTAACCACAAGTGGGTGATTTTTTTTTTAAATTGTTAATTTTTTCCTGCAGGGTAAACATATACGGCTTTTATTTTGTGTAAATTTGTGGATGCACATACATATATACAACTCAGAGAATGTTTTGTTATTTATTATTTGGAAAATTTCATACCACAAGCAAGTCAGAAAACTTGTCCGGAAAACCACACTAAATACTCTTTGAAATTCTCTAATTGCTCTTTCTAGTCATACATGCAGAAATGGATTTACTCGTATGTACGTACGTAGTAGTAATATATATTTGATATATATATGTATATTTGGTTTATTTAGAGTATATTTACCCCGATATTAACATTTCAATGCACTTTAATACTTAATAAAGAGCTTTAGTCACAATGTTTGCAAATCAAATGACTAGTAGAGATGCTAGGTGTTGTCCTATAAGCAATGCCGAGCAAATTACGTACTTACATTCCAACTAACTCGCAGGAAGGCGTTAGAGGTTCTCCTTCTATCCCAACGCAATGCTTATATCTATT